CTCTAACATACTTCACTGCCACTCTAGACCTTCTCGTGCGCCACAGCTTCTCTCTCAGCACCATCATACACTTTCTCTGAATCTACAAAGACACAATGCAACTCCTGATCTTCTCTGTTCTTCTCCATCAGCATCCGTGAAGCAAAGATAGCATCTGTAGGACTGGTTCTTGGTTTCAAACCATTCTGCTGCTCACAAATGTTCACTTCTGGCCTAAGCTTAGCTTCCACCACTCTTTCCTAGAACTTCATTAGTTTTGTTCTTCTGTAGTTCCCAAAATTATGTAAACCATCTCTGCTGCCATGTTTTAAACCACATAAAGTGCAATAATTAAAAATAGCAGCAACAAAAATTTATATTTTAGGCTTAGCTAAGGGGTGAATTGTGGTATTTTTGGAACAGGCCTGAGGGCACCTTATGGTGAACCCTGATCTAAATCATATTTTAGTCTCCATATTTTCATTTCCTACCCCTTATTCTTCCCCTATCTTGTATTATTGTACCATTTTGTTATATTTTACTAAATTTTATTCTTTTTTTTGTATTTCTTATGTCTTACTTTTTAAAATCTCAATTAAAAAGCAAGATCGACCAAGACCACTTTCAAAAAAGTGTTTTTAAAACTTTACCACAGCACTTTAAACAAATTAAAGTGTGCACATGTATTTATAATACTACCATTCAACGAGAAATGGTTTACATAAGAACACCTCATATGAGATGATAGTTATTAAACAATTTCTAAATCCTTTTTGTAATTTTTCAAACACATGGTGGCGCTGCTGCCCACAAAGCCTGCTGACACTTGACTAAGTGCTGGAGGAGAACACATAATGATGACCTGCCTGCACATAATCAGCAGCTGTAACTAAAACTCAGGCAGGGGCAGGATTTTCAATTTCTGACAGAACAAAGATAGACGCGGTTCAAAGGACTCAGAACAGGGATGTTATTAGGCTGCAGCAGCCACACACCGGCTTCTGGAACAGGTTTGTTAGTAGAGACGTGTTTTCTGACACAGGTACATTGCTATAGCTCTCATTTTCATTAGCACTGCACCAGACCTATGCTCCATGAGTGTAAAGAAAACCAGACTTTGATGGCAGATTATGGGTCTAATTTCTTAATTCTAAATAAAAACGATAACATCTCTATACGTGATGAGTAGGAGGAGTTGAAGGACACGAACCAAGATAAAACCACTTCAGCAGACACAAGTCAGTGAACCAACTCGGTTTGTGGTCATTTGAATTTTTTTCTGATGACATGTTGGACACTTTCGCCCGATTTATCCACATCTAAAACATTACAAGATACAGCACTGAAAAGCAGAAATTCATGGAAATAAGCAACGTTTGTGTTTATTAGGGCGACAGTGGCACAGGAGTTAAGTGCTCGCCCCGTAATCGGAAGGCAACAGGTTTGAGTCCCGCTAAGTCTATCGCTGTCGTTGTGTCGTTGGGCAAGACACAACCCAACTTGCCTGCTGGTGGTGGTCGGAGGGACCGGTGGCCCCAGTGCTCGGCAGCCTCGCCTCTGTCAGTGTGCCCCAGGGCAGCTGTGGCTACATCGTAGCTCATCCCCACCAGCGTGTGAATGGATGGATGATTGTGTTGTAAAGCGCCTTGGGGGGTTCCAGGACTCTAGAAGGTGCTATATCAAATACAGGCCATTTACCATTTTATTCTAAAAACAAGTCCCAATATTTACTGTTCTGTTATTAGTGTTCCACTTCTTGTCATTTAATATAAACAAACTCAAACGGTATACAGTATAGCTTATCTTCATGATAATCCTGGAGTAAAACATTTCACGAGATTGTAAAAATATTTCTACAAGCAGTCAGCGTAATCTCGACCAGTTCTCCAGACTTTCCAAAAGTCTTTTAAAGTTTTTCCTTTTCACTCCGTTTCTCTCGGTTCCTGTCGAACACCACAGCATGTTGTGTAGTTTTCTGCTTCAAAACAAGGAAAGTGGACAAAATAAGGACAAGAGAAAACACAAGACACCTAAAAATACAAGACACGAAAAGACATAAACAGTCCTTACAACATAATTTACAGAACATCGACTGCACTGATACCCATAAGTAACAGCATCTCACTGGTAACGTCTGTGCGACTGACACAAGAACACAAAGACTAAACAAGAACCCTTGTCCATGTTAGCTCTCGTAAAAATGATGTAGGCTACAGTATATGATGGTAATCAATGTTCCAACCGCAGTCTCAGCCTTTGATAGAAAAGGAATCTCTATAACCCCACAAATGGCTTCATAAATGTTTTTTTAGTTTGTGTGTATGTGGTCTTATTGCCTCTTACTGTATTGTATGTGATGTTGAGCCCAGATGAAAGACAGGTTTCTGTAACTGTCTTGGTGTTAGACGAGTAACGCGCTCAACTCTAATCTAGTAAATAAACATAATGAAAATCATAGCAATCGACTGAAAAGTTTGCTGCATGGCATTGTAGCTGGTACCACTGTTGCCTCACAGCATTAAGGTTGCAGGTTTGATTCCCAGCAGGTAGAAAATGAAAGATTTCCGACAATAAACTCGCCTGATATGAGAAACCTGACTGTTAGACAAGCTTTCTGGGAATATCAGAAACATTTTTGTAGATTCTCTGTCGTACGTGGCACGATGAGCTTGAAAGTTCAGTTGGAAACAACGGAACTTTTCTTGATTTCATTGAAGATGTTTCGCCTCTCATCCAAAAAGCCTTTTTCAGAACTGAAGATGCTTTTCGGATAAGAGGTGAAATATTTTCAGTGGAGACAAGAAAAGTCCTGTTGTTTCTGATAAAGCTTTAAAGATTTACACATAAATGTGTCTTTTGTGTGGGTAAAAATGGAAACAAGTCGCGTGTTTGTCTTTGCATCATATTTAAAATGGCTTCACCGTTACGTTCTCTGGAACAACGCCGGTTCATCTCTGGTGTTCAGGAGCCATGGTAACGATTTTAAAGATTAATTGGTCGGGGTTGAACAAAACAAAAGGAAAAACAAAAGATCTCAGATCAAATGTGCAGGTTATAGACTCAAAATGAGTGAAAAAGCAGCACAAGTCCAAAGAAAATATTTGCAAACCATAAGAAAGCCTGAAGAACAATTAATCAAGACCAGTTTAAAAAAAATACCCAAAAGTTTGGGTCAGAGGGAAAAATATCAGGAAACAAGAGAAGACTTTAGCACATTTCCGTATGCTTGACTCTATTTGCTCATTTTATTCCATAAAAGTGGAATTTAACAGTTTTAAGTGTAGTTTATGCATAACATGTGAGCGTAAAAACATTAATTACTACAGCAAATTTAGATTTGATCACAGAATTGTGGAGGTATGGAACAGTCTTCTTTCAGAATCATTTTAAAATGCTTCTTAAAACTTATTTTTACCTGTTGGCTTTTATCCTAGTTTAAATAAACCCTCCCACTGTCCTAATTGGTGACCCCGCGAGGAAAGTTGACCATTGAGCAGGGTTGATGGTTTATCCCTCGAGGTCCACGTGGCAGGGATGAGGTGGTGCTCACTCCTCACCCCTGTCACATGGACCCAAGGAATAAACCATCAGCCTTGCTCAATGGTCAACTTTCCTTGCGAGGTCACACCCAGTTGGACAGTGGGAGGATTAAGCATTTGTATCTAGTTTTTAGCGGTCTAACTACCTGTTGCTTCTCTCTTTTCTTTCTCTTTTTTATGTACTTTTACCATAATATTTATCTATGACTTAACTGTACTTTACTTTGTGAAGCACTTTGGGCAGCGGTTGCTGCAGTAAGCCAGTTAAATAAAGTTGACCATGACAATTTCTAGCTGTCTGTATGAAGAAAATGTGGTAGAATTCTGCTACATTTAATATAAATGACATTTACGTTGGATCTTAAGGCCAATTATAACTTTTAGGTACTTAAAGTAAAAAAAAAGTAATTAAAACCTACATTTTTATTAAGCTGAGTTTAAATCTTCCCATAGCAAAAAGAAGTATACTTGAAGTTCATGCTTGAGTACAAATATAGCAAGTATACTATGGACCACGTACTAGAGTACTGGAAAGTACACCAATTCACGGCATGCTATGCAACTTTGCTAAAACGACTTTTTACAGGGTTAGTGAAATGTTGCTCAGACCCCCCACTACCCCCTGTGTCAAGAAAATCGCACTTGCACTTTCAGAGTGCCAGCCCAGTCCCTGCTGGACTTAGTAAAGTGGAGCTGACATGCCGTTTCCTGCGTGTTTCGATCGTGAACACAGCTGATTTGTTTGATTTAGACGTTAATCCCTCCTGTAGAAACTAATGAAGGCTGAGGAGACACTCCAGCTGTTAGATTAAGGTGTCAAAATGAGAACGTGCAGCAAGGAGAAAAGTTTCACTTTTGATTCTACTAAATGGACACTATGGGGTGCTAAAAGCAAGCAAAAAGTGCTAAATATCCCTTTAAAACTTCTTCATACTAAATTGGAAATTTTTTTTGAGTTTATTAAAGCTAACTTTAAGTACACTTGCAAAAGGTAAGTTTAAGTTAACACAGTAAACGTTCAAGTATAGCAAGTACACTCATCTATATACTGCTATTTACTACTTGGATCGGTATTATTACTTTGCGACAGAAAGAAGTGAAAAGTATACCAAAGTACAAGTACAAGCTTTAGTATTTAAGTGTAAGTATTAGTATACAGGTTTTGTACTTTTCAATATAATCCAAACACTATATGCTATATAAAATGTAGTATGTAAAACGAATACACTACAGGCGTGTAGTATATTCACTTGACTAGTTTTTTCTCTAAGGGTTGCCAAATATTATAACCTCTTAACCTGATAGATGATATTAATAAAGTTTCAACTCTGACACAGTTAGAAACTGTTGTAATGAACTAAATACTTTAACTCAAAGTATATATTTGTAAATTTACTTGAGTAAATAAAATGAAGTGATAATCTGTATTCCAGGAGAGCTGTGACTCTAATAGAACACAGCTAGTTAGCATGACGCTTCAAAAAAGCTGAGGTGTTATTTCGGGCCTGCTCTGATAGACATGCGCACAGCACAGCTGATGGCACATCTGCACTGACGTCACCCTGTCCTGGACATACCCCGTCCCTGTGAGGAGAAGCAGCTTCGAGCCAACTGTTGCTGCTGTTTGATGCACTTTTATGGGTCCTTCTTCCAAACCTTCCCGATCCACTCAGAGCCACACGCATGAAAACAGAGTCCAGATTATCAGGAGGACAGATAGGCTGAAAGCAAACTCTTCTTCTGGAGGAAATCCAATCCTCTGAACATCAGAATAAGTGATTTTTTTCTTCTTCTTCAGGCCGAGTCTGGGCTGAGATACAGCCGCTCTGCTCGGGTGTCCGGGCAGGAGGAGTGGGGGGTGCGGGGAGAAAACACTCGCCGCAGATCCAGAGGATGGCAGAGTTCAAAAGGAGATGAGAAGAGCAGAGTGGAGGAGGTTTGTGTGCGGAACTTAAAAGCTGCCCAAGTTTTTTTTTTTCCAGCTCTGACATTTTGCACAAGTTGGAGCTGACAGAGGATGAGTCTGATATCTGCTTACTCTCTCCTCCCGGTGCGTTAACAACAACAGGTCGGTATGTTTTCTGCTGCTTTTAATCGGTGCAGATTTGTGCACGCATCCGAATCCTCTCAGGCGTGCAGGCGTATGTATACACAGCAGCACTCGGAAACCTGGTGGGTTTCTGCGAGTTGAGACAACAGGGTTTTAGGGTCAGTTGTGTGAAAAATGTGCACTTTTGGGGGCAACTTTTACGCGCGGATTCATTCTTTTTATTTTTTTAAACACATTTAAAGCCCTCCACATGGCATGCAGCTAAACTCCGGGTTTATTTTGACTTGCAGAGGCTCCTTGAGGGTTGTGTTTGAGGTACCGGTGTAATGCATGCGGGCCGGCTGCCAGCTGTCTGGGTCAGAGTGGCCAAGTAGGTAGCGCTGTCTGTCTGGAGCGCTGAGGAAACACACAGCCCCCCTGTTCGAGTCTGACTCTCTGGAGTCACTTTCACTGGACATCACTCCGGTATCACCTGACGTTTGTTTAGAAAAGTCTCGTCTGGACGCGCCGCCGCCGCGTCAGTGAGTCAAACCACAAGGATCTGCAGGAATTAGATCATGCAGACTGTCCGCACCGCGGAGATTTACGCATGCCTTTCAGCGCCCTCATTTACAGCGCGCAGCCTCGCCGAGTCGGTCATTAAACTGTCATCAATTTTCAATTATTAGACACGAATGTAAACTCAAATCGGGTCGTTTCTCGCAGAATTTGAGCGTTTTGGGGGAGTTGGGCACGCTGTTAGAACTTTATAGGTTCTGCTTTCACTCATGAAGGAAACATTTTCAGGTCCAGCTGACCAACTAACTATATCCAACTTATAACTTTCATATATATGGGGGAAAAACGCACAACATTTGCACCCTCGTAACTTACTTTATAAGTGACATACATATTACATAACAACGTGAGATTATCCACTTAGTGATTGTGGTCACTGTTGCTCTAAAGCTCCTGTCCTGATGTGCGCTTGCACACAAATCACCACACTGGACTCAATAGAGCCACTAGATTCTCCTAATGTTAATCATTTGTTTGTCTTTCAAAGTGCATGCTGTTCATATGAGTGGGCATGTGGAAAACTAATGACGAAGGATGTTCAAAAAAGAGTAGAATTGTATATTTAATTCCTAAAAATAATTTCTTTTTTTTGCAAATTTCATAAAGTTCCATTAGTCATCATCACACATTGGCGAAATTACATCTCCACATTTGACCCATCCCCGTGAGGAGCAGTGAGCAGCAGATGCACTCAGGAGCTCTTTGGTGGTTTGACCCCCCAATCAAGCGGTGAGGCGTTGGGTCTTATTTTAAAATCTTTTGTACGATCTGACCAGATTTGAACCCTGAGCAGTCTTAGGGTGGGACACTGAGATAATGCATGCATGAAAATGTTAGAATGTTTGTATTGTTCACAAAGCTGTAAAAAACTAAACAAACAAACATTTACATTAGGTTAGAGCAAAGACGTAGTTAAATACCTTGAGGTTTGTTGTGCATGGAGGCCCAGTGAACGATATCAGTCAGTATGGCACGTAAAAATAAAATAATAATTATCTGCTCCTTTTCTCCCTCAGGAGTGCAGATGGATTGGTCAGGACAAGTTTCCAGCACAGAGCTTCCAGTTTGGAGGTGCACCTGAGTCTAACGCGTCTGATGGATTATGGACATGAACCCAGAGGCCGGTGAGATGTGGAAGAGCTCACCTGCAACACCAATCTGAGTTCCTGGGCGATCCTGCGAGAGATTTTCAGTGTAGAAGAGAAACCCCGGACCTGTTATGGTGGGCTGTCGGACCAAGGTCGTGCCTTTAACCCGCTTGTAGCCCCCTCCACCCCCCTCATACTCCATGCCACATCTTTCCATGAATTATGGAAATTTTGTGGAAGACGCTGACTTGGACACTGAGCCTGGTGATGATGGCTGCTTCAGAGTTTCAGGGTGCCAACAGACTTCCACACGACTCTCAAGGTATGGTGGGAAGAGGTGGCTGGATTCTCTGAAAGGCTCAGCGACTGATTCATTATCTGCTCTCTTCTTCTGTTTCTTTTCTCGGTAAAAGAAGAGTTCCTGTCTTACCTGCAGCACTACCAGCTGACCCTCCCAGTGAGGGTGGATGAGAACGGAGAGTTCTTGAGCTACACTGTGAAGCACCAACGTTCAGGCCGACGGAGGCGTGGACTGACGGACCCGGTCGTTGGATCTACGTCAGACCCTCCAGACTCTCAGCTCTTCTACAGACTGTCAGCCTACGGAAAGCACTTTCACTTAAACCTGACACTTAACCCCCACCTGGTGTCAAAACAATTTGCTGTGGAGTACTGGGGCAAAGAGGGGCCCGAGTGGCGTCACAACGTGGTAGATAACTGCCACTACGTTGGATTTTTGCAGAATCAGCACGGAACAACCAGAGTGGCACTCAGCAACTGCAAGGGCCTGGTGAGTTCGGTTCACACCATGCACCTCGAACAAACCTCCATAAATCTGTCAGATAACTCAAACACGCACAGCTCTGGCTGCGCTCGCTGCGGCCGCTATGTCGGAGCATCACACTAGTTGTGTTGGCTTCTTTCCACTTGGCACACTGAGTCAGGCAGCTCGGAGTGAAGTCACACTCACGTCAAAAAATCAAATAATGTCCCTGATCTGCGAAGGCGACGCCTCAGCGGCTCTTTTCTGTAGCTGTCGTTCTGAAAGAACTTGTAAATGCTGCTCCTCACGAATTCTGATTTACTATCAGACTGAGAAGCAAAAATAAAGAAGAGCCGTGATATTAATTACATTTATTAGTCAAATTTGGGTCCAAACTATTACACAAACAATATATACAACAAAACAAAAACTTTGGGATTAAAGATATTTGTCACTTTGTGTGGATGCTTGCAGTGTCTGTCTCCTCGCAGTAACAAGGTTGAAGGTTTGAATACCACCTGTGGCCTTTCTGCACGGAGTTAGCATGTTCTCCCCATGCATGCGTGGGTTTTCTCTGGGTTCTCTAAGATCAAAAACATGCACGTCAGGTTAAGATGTGACTCTGAATTGTCCTTAGGTGTGAGTGAGTGTGAGACTGTTTGTCTCTGTGTGTCCCTGTGTGTTGACTGGAGACCTGTCCAAGGTGTCCCCTGCCTCTCGCCTGATGACTGCAGAAGACAGTCACCCGCTCCCTGAGGACTGGTTAAGATAATGAATTAATATCACTTTGCACACGTGTCTTTGGGTGGTGACAAGACAGTACAAGTAAATATGGCTGACCAAGGGCAAAATAAACCAATGTCACGCCATGTCGTTCCTTAACTGTTTTCTGCTCACATGCCCTGTGGGATGGCCTCGTATTATTTTATTTCTAAGAATCGACTTTCTAGGAAAAATATTTTTTTGATGCCAGACTTCCTATCTGGACCTCTAGGCTTCTTCATCAGGGGCTTCATGGGACCAATCGATCAAGTGGAAGATGCAGTTTCATTAGTTGGTGTCTAAACTAACATCTGAATGTTACAATGAAATAGTTCTTCATTTGTTACTTATCCTAAAGAGCTTTAAAGCAGAGGTTGACTCATTAATCAATACATTTGCAGTGGAATGAATGCCTTGCAAGTCCTACTCTGGGTACAAAAGCCCTGGTGCGCCTGTTTCAGTAACTAGAAGATTGTCAGATCAGAGGAGAGCTTCAGATGGCAGGATTTGGAGTCGTACTTCCTGATATTTGGACATTTCTCCTCTGATTGGCTAACAGCAACACGACTACCAGTGACTGTTTACGTTGCAATGTTGATGTTTTCTCTCCACAAATAACACAAGCCTGGAGGAGTTCTGCTGTGTGGCGGAGTAGCCAATGCTTACAGCTGCTAGCTGAGACATTCTCTGCTGTTTTCTGGATGCTAAACCAACAACAGCCTTACCCATCACGAGTCAAGATGGGCGAGTTCATGAATGTTAAGTGACAGTGTGATGTCACTTTGTCAGGATTTTCAAATCCTACTGTTTCACCATCTATTTTCTAATGCAGGAGATAGGTGAAGGAGACTATTTTCATGTTCAGCCTGCATGAAAATCTCAGAGTGACCCGTTATAATCAGAAATAATAATAATTAAAAAAAATTCAGTGTCCCACACCTTTAATTATTTTAACGGCGGTGTAAGTTGACTGATGATGAAATCTTTATAACGAACATAAAAAAATAAAAATAAAATAAAAACAAACCTGGAACTTTCATTGTTGATCAAAATACACTTGACCCCATAATTTATACCATCAACAGTTTTAATTACCACTAAACAGCACAACTCTGCCACCTGCTGGCATTAAAATTGCTTAAAATATGAACTCTGGACATCGTTTCATAACTCAGTGAGCGCTAGGAGAATTAAACATTAGAACCTCATTAATGTTAAAAGCATAAAAATGTTATACTTATCATGTTTTGAGCTTTTAGTTTATTCTTTGTTGTCTTTTTACTAACCAGGAAACTAGAAGAAGTTTTAGTGGCTGTTGTGATTCAGACTAACTCTAAAGAAGGAAGAAACAGCCCTGCTTCATATTGGCAAACAGAGTCATGCTGAGCAAACATGTGGCCAAATGTGTTGGCAAGTCCCGCACTGAGTATCATAAATTGAATTAGTGTTTGCTCTTTTTTTTTCCTCCAGCACCAAAAATGGACAAAACCGTGTCTGTGCTTTAAGGTAATCAGCTGTCTGGATGGTATGAGACCCTGACATCACACCAGTAAAACGTCCAGCGTGTTTCTGAAGGGTAGTGTGTTGTGTGCTTAATTACTTTTATTGTGGATTTTACACAGACAAGTCAGCGTTTCTCGTTGTTTATATTCCAGGCAAACTATTGAAAGAGAGAGAGGAATGTTTTAGAGCTGGTTTTGATGTAGCTGGCTGTTTTGGGTCTGTAAAGGTGATTATTAACTCATTTATGTGTGATAAAAGCACCTTATTAAACAGATAAAAAGACAGAACTGCATAAAGGTGGCACTCGTAAGGCCCGATTCACATGATACGATATTCATGATGAGTTTTGAAACGAGTTACGACAACATTAAGGAAGTACCCAACCAGTTTGATGTCTCTAAAGACAATCTTATCAGATATTCCTGCCATGTGTGGTGTGTTAGGAGTGTTCGGTTCTGCTAGGAAGGATGTCATATGTCACGACGACGGCCTTGCGTGAAAGCATCACCAGAATGATTGACAGCTATGCGAACCAATGATTCTGATGATCCACCCGGAAGAAAAAGATCCTCCGCTCTACCTTTAAGTACCTCTATCTGCTCTTGACTCAAAGAAAAGCCCAAGTCTAAACAACTGAAAGTTGATGCCAAAGCAGTTTGAAGCAAGCCGCCTCCATCTTTGTTGTTTCTCCCAGTTGCACTAACATCCCGCCCACCAAACAGATAGAGTGCAGTGATTGGTGTAACACAACACTGCTCAGGCCAATGGTAGACCTGCTGAGGCTCCTATGGAGCATGGCTTGAAGGACGTGCAGAGACCTGATACGGTCTGTCTAGATTTCTAGGCCATTGTAGACTTTTCTTGGCAGCCTTTACATTCTGACATTGTGACGCCACTCATCCCCCACCATGAGTGAAATATTTTTACTCTGCTGTTTTCTTTGTTTGTGTGTGACCCCCCATTTTGTTTGATGCTGCCTTCCTGGACCAGAGCACTCTTGCAAATCTAAATGAGTCTTTCACCTGGTGAAATGAAGGGCTCATAGTAAATAATACATTTTCCTCAGTAGGGGTTGCACGGTGCTGGTGTATTTCCAGTGTTCACTGGGTGAGAGGTGGGGGACGCCCTGGACAGATGGTCCATCACAGGGACGCCCAACCAGCGACACTCTCACGCCTGGGGACAGATTAGTTTGCAATCAACCTAACATGCATGCTTTTGGTCTGTGGGTAGAAAATGGAGTATCCCTCGCATGCACGGAGACAACATGCTAATTCCACACAGCTGGGATTTGAACCTGCAACCTTCTCACTGTGAGGCAACAGATACACAGATTGGGTCACCATGCAGCCCAGGCTGCATCCATCTTCTAAGTTATTTGGATTTTAATCACAACTAATGCTGACAATGTGCAGCAAGTTTGCTCCATAACGAATCAATGAGACGGGCCCGATTTCCACTTCAGCTGCATTTCATTTCAGCTTCAAACTACAAACATATTTAATCACAATTGTCTTAAAATTGTCTTAAAAATATCAGATATTTTATTGCACAGAAAGTTATGTTAGCACTTCTTTTGGATTGTTTTAACATAAAGTAGAGAATGCTCGGAGAGCATCAGCCTCACTAGTAACATGATAGTGCCTACATCTCTAAATACAATCATTCATACCTGTTTTCACCTTCTTCTTTCTTGTTTTCTCTTTTTCTATTTAAATTTAAGCAGTTCCCACTTGTGTCTTGGCATCTTTTCACCTTGCATTCAGTCTAAATTAAAGAAAGAAATCTGCCTCTAATGCTAAACATGCCATAAGAATTCGTTCTCTTCAGTTTTGCTGTTTGTAACGTGTTGATTTTCTCCTCCAAAAGCATGGTGTAATAACCACAGAGGAAGACCAGTATTTAATAGAGCCTTTAAAGAACACATCCTCCTCCACCTCCGATGACTGGAACCTGGAAGGAGCGCAGCAGCATGTTATTTATAAAACGTCTGCCATTCCCTCACCACAAGAGCGTAGCCAGGAGTTCAGCTGCGGCATTTCAGGTTGGTGAGCCTCCATCTGGGTTGGATTTTGTGTGGGTGAAACTGACGTAAAGGAATAGCTATACTTAGCAGGTTTGGGGAAGTGCTGGTTTGGTTCTGGGCTCATGTTCTAGACACAACCAGGCCTCCTGTGCGCCAAAGCTACTCCTGGTCTGGACACCTAAGAGAACGTGTCGCTCCACCGTTTTTATAAAAGGCCTTTCAGTGAATAAATAGCATTCAGTTCATTTTGTTTAACAGAAGCTCAAATTCTGTTTTTTGAACCAACGATTATGACCAGATTTCAGGTTTCAGAGAGCTAAATGCCGTGTCTGCTGAAACATGACGAACTGGAAAATGATCCAGGTGGATATTTTGTTCTTTGGGCTGAGGTCTTATAGAGAGCAGCAAAGGGAGGAAGCTAGCATGTCCCAGCATGTAGCACCTTATGGCTTTTCCCAGAGTATCTGGGTCATAAAACAGATGCTTTAGCTGCTGCAAAGCAGAACCTTCCCAAAACCAGCACTCTCTCATACCACGTTTCAATATTAGCTTGTCATATGTTTCACTAATCAGCTTGTATCTGTGTTTTTCTGCAGACCCCATTGGAAGCAGTGCACCTTGCCCCTTTAGCACATCCTCTCCTGCCCCTCAGAACAGCAGCGAGCAGTCCAACAGCACCCACAGGCAGAGGAGGTCCGTCAGCTCGGAGCGCTTCGTGGAAACGCTCGTGGTCGCAGATAAAATGATGGTCGGCTACCACGGTCGCAAAGATATCGAGCACTACATCTTGTCTGTGATGAATATTGTAAGTTTATTTTTGGACACATTGCTGATTTGTCACCACGGATTCCTCCACTGTCTTTGCGAAGTTGCAGTCAGACGTCTGACTTTGTGTCTTTTCTTCTTTTCTGGAGGTCAGGTTGCCAAACTTTACCGTGATGCCAGCCTAGGAAATGTTGTGAACATTATTGTGACCCGGCTGATTGTTCTCACCGAAGATCAGGTAAGTGTTTTCAGTCCCACCTTCAGTTTGTGATCCCTCACCTGTCGTGAGTGATTAACTGATGCTCTCAGCATGAGTGAGCTGCTGTGCTTTTATGCGAGGCCGAAGGGACAGAGACAGAAGACAGACTATCCACCGTATGGATGCATGTCAGATGAAAGATGTGGATCCCTCTGGGAGCCTCACTTCACTGTACATGTGCATGTTATGTGTGGCTGGAGAAACGTCTGCTTTTCCAGTTTTTTTGTAGCTTTTCTTTTTGTGGAATGGAGACAAAAATAGTTTCATGAAAACTTAAGTAAAAATTTAAATAATTTGAAAGTATGTTTATTAATGTCATCAGTTAAATGAAATAAAATCACACATTTGATATTTTTATCTTCATTTTATGAATTTATCTTCATATGAATCTGATTTGCTTTAGATGAGTTTTGGTTTGCAAAAGTAAATCTGAAAGAACAAGTCACCCCCAAATCAACTTTTTTTTCCTGATAAACCATATAAATATGTGTCTAATAGTGCTGCAGACACGTGTAGTCAATAGTTTAGCACTTTGATGCATTTTAATTAAAATTTTAATTTTCTACCTAAAACTGTCAGTGTTGTGCTCGTTGCCAAGTAAAAACTCTGCAATGCATTTGAACTTTTTATTTTTATTTTTTTTACCGTGTCCTGTCTGGCTGTGAAGCAAACAGAATTGATGTCTGAATGCTGGTAACAAGCCTTACAGATTTCAGGTGGAGCATCAAAGCGTCTGCTTTTAATGTCACGCAGGGGCGGATTAAGGACTGAAGAAGATCCGGGGCTTAACACACACACACACGCGCGCGCGCGCACACACACACACACACACACACACACACACACACACACACACACACACACACACACACACACACACACACACACACACACACACACACACGTGACACGCACTAGTCAACATCATATATGTCTTGTACCACATAATTTTTAATCTGAAGCTACATATTAAGCATTTTCAGGACAGAGTATTGTTCCTGTTAGTGTTTAGTGTGAGATGATGGTAAATATTCCCTTTCTTTCTCCATCAACTTTACCTGATAGTAAGCTAACTTTAGGCAAACCAGCAGCACAACAAATATTTTCAAATAAGACTCACAAACCTGAGTCAACACCAGTCTCATCAAAGCTGGGGTTCTGTCGCGGTACTCTTGGTCTAAAAAACGTCCTTATGTCCATCTTCACTCATGCGTTTCAGACAGAGAGTGTAGAAGAAGCCGGCTGCTGAAGGGCATCTTCAGTGGTGGAGGCTCAGGCAGGCTGTATACAAGCTACTGCCAGCTGCTCCCTCTCTGTTGGACTTTGGTACTGCATGTTACTTCCACGTTTGAGATCCGGGGCTTTTCATTAAAGATTCGGGGCTTCAGCCCAAGTAGCCGGGCCTAACGCCGCCCCTGATGTCACGCCTGATACTTAAAACTTTATTGTTATTGTTTTTGAATGCTTCTAAATTCCGACCAGACACGGAGACAGAGGTGAAAGAGAAAGGAAAAGACAAAAGGTGGAAAGAGAGGGGGGAAGGGGGTGGGGAGTCCACAAAAATAAACAATAATGAACAAGTCTGCTTCTAGACCTGCAGAAAGAGAAAGAGCAGAAAAAAATGGGACACACAACAATACATCAGGAGCAAGCTATCATTGCATCAACCTGATGATGAAATCTAAAATCAACATTGTTTAACTGAACAATCACACGATAATAAATCACAGTGCATGTAGTGGCAACGACAGCCTTAAGACAAATGTTGAACGTGCCCAAGCCCATACTTATGAGAGCACCATGTGAGCACCTGTGTGTGTACACGTGCTTGTTTATGTAAGTTTTCTCTATAGGAGCGTCCAATAGAGAGTGTGAGGGACCACAGATCCGCCCTCCAAATATGTGTAGGAGACGGGGGGAGCTACAAGTCCCAGAGATCCAGGCACTGCCCCAGAACGCAGGAACCCCAAGGAGACTGCAACCAGAAAGGCCCCCGCCCCCCTCGAGAGGCACAGAGGATCGCCCCGGGGGGCCACAACCAGCAGCCGGCAGAGTCCCGGGAGATATCAGCGGCAAGCCCACAGGCCCGCCCGCAGCCTCCCACCCCCTAGGCGGCCGAGCCCGGGACCCAGGGGCGACCACCCCCGCCGGGGACCCAGCAGAGCCCAGGGACCCAGACCCCACCAGGCAGCCACCGGGATTGATCAAGCAGACGCCAAAAATCTTAAACCCCCTGACCCGGGAGCCTCGAACACTCAGGCAGACTAAGGCACCACACCCCACACCAGGTGTGGCAGGGGGAGGGGAGTCAGGGATTCCCAAAGTGTGGTGCGCGCACCCCTGGGGGTGCGCGAGCTGCCGCTAGGGGGTGCGCAAGGTGAAAAGTGTAATGGCTGCGGAGCTCAGAGAAGTCTGTCATATGTCACCATTAGCGTAGAAACTCATTTGTGGGTGGGCCAAAGAAAAAGTAAGTGGGCACAATAAATGTAATTGAAAACAAGTATATTTTTGCGCGCGCGCGCGCGTGTCCTCCGCATGTGCCCTAACTTCATAATAACAATGCGCCGAGCTTCAGCACTCTGGCCTGCGCACGCCGATATGTTCCGTCGCGCGTGCGCGTGTCCTCCAAATGTGTCCTAGCTTCATAATAACAATGCGCCGAGCTTCAGCACTCTGGCCTGCGCACGCCGATATGTTCCATATTTGATCATTTTTAACGGTGTTGGAGAAATCTGAAGGTGGCGAGTCATTCTGGCAGATTGTAATTAACACCTGTCTCATGCAGGTGTTCTGACATTGTAAACCTCACACACAGAACATTGTGGATGTAACTAAATAACAACAAATGATTCCCATTCAGGCTATTAACAGCGCGCTGAAGATCTGAAGTTCAGAGTGCGTCTGTCAGAGGTCAGACGCGTTCCGGCTGAACCACGGCTCACGGGTGCACAAGTGAGCACATCTGGGCTGGGCAGAAGTAATTTTACAACATTGGTTTAAATAGCGCGAGACGCGGTGACTTGAGCGGCTGTGCCGCGCGCGCACACACACAGATTCAATAAGTGCGCACGCTGCTTTAACTCCGGCGCGCCGTCAGACTGAAGGCAGAAATAAACACTGCGTCCACCGTGATAAAAACTTTTAAGAGGTTATTTTTCATTCAAGGTCAAATTAAGATATTAGCTTCTGGGATGAGTCGGGTCCGCTCCAGCCAGTGACTCCTCATGAACCTGACCACATCTCATGTTACTGCAGCATTTGTCATTCCAGTCAGCGTGGCAGCGGATCGCAGATTCAGCCTCACCATCAAACAGCAATAAGTCGGTCTGAGGTAAAAGTGAACATCATGGCTATATCTTGTCCCCTATTGACATTTGATTACGCACAAGTAGGTGATCAGCTCAGGTTTACGCAGAGCAGAAGGAAGGAGAGCGCTCTGGCCGCACAGGTTAAACGTTCCTACTTTAAGAAAACCGTTAAATTGCATTGTTTATGTTCTACCTGGGCACTGTAAATATTTATTTAAAATGAAATCAAAGGAAATTGTAATGGTATCGAATGTTTATTAATTACTATTTAAAAAATGAAAGTGATGGGGAATTTTTTTTAACCCTGTCTGTTTAGCTTGACATCTGACATATATATACATATATATATATATATATATATATATATATGTAGAGAGAGAGAGAGAGCCATGCCCCGATGTGGGGGCGTCGGGGGGGGGGGGCGTCGACATGGTCGGGACATAGAAGGGGGTGCGCGGCTAAATAAGTTTGGGAACCACTGATCTATATCATCAAAAGAAGTCCCAGAAGAGGGGAGGAGTCAAAGTCCCCACCTGACATATACAGTCATACACAAACACAGTCACACACTCCTTCCCTCATGCTCACACATGCACATATAAACAAAGACTTACAAAAATGCATGCCGGACACCCACTCATGTTCCCCATACACACCCTATTCACTCTGGTCCTGGTACTGCTGCACATTGGGTACAACCATCACCGGTTACCAGAGTTTGACCCTTTCTGCTGGGGTGCTGATGAGCAGGCTCCCCCGCCCAACGCTGAGCACAGAAACCCACCACCCCGGACCCCAACCAGACGGCCAGATCTCCCTCCTAGCCTCAGGAAGCCAAGCAACAACAGAGGTGTGCTAAGACCCCTAGTGTCCCTCCACCTGCTCCATTACAGTGTTGTGTGTTGATGAGGTGTATTCCATGGCTGTGGTGAGCGGGCAGTGCGGGCATTGTCTGGCCTATGCCAGCTGATGCCACCGCACCACCCCACTTGCACCCACAGCCCTCGGTGTCTAAGTGCAGTTTAAAATTGGTTGAATGTGCTCACTCCCAAGGCCCTAAGTGTGTGTTTGCATGGAATGTCGTCGCTGGAAGTGTATAAGGTGCAAATAAAATTGGGGGGCAGGTTGCCACAGGATTGTGGAAATGGGGTCCATACCCGCACTCCCTGACTTGTCTACCCCCCAAGGTCCTATGTGTATGTTTGTGTGATGATGTGAGGGAGCAGGAGGAGAGAAATATGTGGGGATGGGGAGGAATGGCTGGTTGGGCTTAGCCCTCCAGGGAGCCAGCTCCCCCACTGGCCCCAATAGGCACCTCTGTTGTCAAATTGCCACCCAGGGCATGGAGACCATTTGAATTTAAATCTGCCATTGCTACTGGCTAAGAAGTACCCTAGGGCGTTAGCTGGTACATTATGATGTCACAATGTCATTGTGAGCCTGTGTGTGTGTATTTGTTAGCGGCTCCGCCCCCTCGGTCAGCCAGGCAACAGCATTTGTTGCATTTTTCCAACAGGAAGTGGAAGTGGAATAAAACTCTGGTAGGGGGTGACTTGCACTTTAAAGAGCAAGTCACCCCCAAATCAACTTTTTTTTCTGATAAACTATATAAATGTGTGTCTAATCTTGCTGCAGACATGTGTAGTCAATAGTTTTGCACTTTAGTTTATTTTAGTTAAAACTTTAATTTTCTGCCTAAAACTGTCAGTGCTGTGCCGTTGTCAGGTAAAAACTCTGCACTGCAGTTGAATTTAAATCTGCCATCACTATTGGCCAAAAGGTACCTTAGAACGTTAGCTGGTACCATATGATGTCACAATGTCGTTGTGAGCCTATGTGTGTGTATATTTGTTAGCGGCTCTGCCCTCTCGGTCTGCTAGGCAACAGCATTTGTTGCATTTTTCAAACAGGAAGTGGGAGCGGAGTAATACTCTGATAGGGGGTGACTTGCTCTTAAGGTCTCATTCACTCAGAAACCATGCTATACTTTTTGAAATATGATCCATCACTTTGAGTGTCACATGCCCTCTAGATGTGAACACACTCTTCTTATGTTATGTTTATGTATTTAGCAGACGCTTTTGTCCAAAGCGACTTACAAGCGATAATCGGCATATTGCCCTTGAGGTTAACAACAACAATAACAACAGTAACTACCCCTATTTCCTGCATTAGTCACTGAAAGAAAATAGACGGGCTAGAAAGAGCCACACAAATTTATGTCACACTAAAATTTTCATTCATGAACTCACCCAAACTTGGTTTGCTCTGGAAAACAGTTCCTTTTAGTGCTGCGAGGCGAGAGCAGAAGCTAGCCATTAGCATTAGCAACGCCACGTGGCGGAACACATTCAGGCTTTAGATATTTGTGAAGATAAAACATCAATGTTGCATTTTTACATAAGACAGATGAGGAAACAAAGGCAGCGCAAGAGTCGCTGTGTTGCTGTTAGCCAATTAGAGGAGAGATGTCTAAACATTATGAATATTAATGAGTAAGATTCGAAATCCTGCCATTTTCTGGATAACAGCAACATGACTCTACCACTGACTCTGTTTGCGCCGCAACGTTGATGTTTTATCTCTACAAATAACACACGCCTGGAGGAGCTCTGCTGTGTGGTGGAATTGCTAATGCTAACTGTTAGCTTCTACTAGCTGAGACGTTCTCTTCTGTTTTCTGAACGCTAAACCAACAGCAGCCTTTCCTGTCGTGAGTCCAGATGGGTGAGTCCATGAATGTTAAGTGACAGCGTGACGTAGATCTGTCAAGCTTTTCTAATCCTAGAGTTTCACCATCTTTTTTCAGAAACTAACGCAGGAGATAGGTGTAGGAGACTATTTTCATGTTCAGCCTGCATGAAAAACTCAGAGTGACTGATTATAATCAGAAATAAGATTTAAAAAATTGTTTTTCATTGTCTCACACCTATCTGTGGGTTTCACCAGCAAAGATTTGAAGCAAAGCTAAATATCAACAGCACATAAGCATGTGACTCTTGTAATTTACTAGGATTTATGCCATCATAACTTTGTAATATGAACGTTTGTTGTTTAGATGCAACATAGATTATTAACCCTCTCAGGCTCACAATAAGTTTTGATAAAAGGACGAACAACTAAGTCCTTCAGGGGTACTTCTGAGTTAAAAGATGCTCATGAAATACGTATGTGGAGTAACCAGGAAGGTAGGTTTTAACGTTGCAAATCTGCAACGCCTGCCTCCAGAGGGTTAAGAAATGTTAGAGATTTGCATGAAAAATACATTTTTTCCCTCACATATGGTCATGATCTTTGAGTCATTTACGTCTCCTCCTGCGTACATCTCTAGCATCATTATGACTGAATCAACTGTTGAATTAAGAGTAAGTTTTGTTGAGGCACAACATGATACAGGCAATAAATAATCTGACTGCAGCACACAATCATATACTCAAAATGCAGTTCAGTGTTTTTATTTCTCTTTCCCCTTTAACATTTGGTACTTCTGTCACAGCAAATGAAATAAAACAAGTCAGCCAAACTGCAGTAGTCCTACTTGGAATAAGAACAGTAAAAGGAGAAGATATAAGATGTGATCACATGTTTTGATATTTATATTTTTTATAATTTCACATATTTTTTATGTGCGTCTCTGAAGATTAAAATCACGAGGCGCTTCACAAGAACAAAAAATTATAAAACAGAATAAAAATATTATATTGTAATAAAAAATTGGATTAACCCTCCCACTGTGCTAATGGGTGTGACCCCGCGAGGAAAGTTGACCATTGAGTAGGGATGCAACGATACCACTTTTTTCCAAACCGATACAATACTGATACTTGGATCTGAGTACTCGCCGATACCTATTACCGTTACCGATACTTCTACCACACAAAAAATGCAATGAATTGGAATACAGATATTATTTTCTTCTGTTTTCAATAGGAAAAGACTGTGAGGTAGATAAATGTAATAGAAGTGATCACAAAACTAAAATATTAGGTGAACAGAAATGACAAGTTACAGTGAAGTCACTTTCAAGCAACTGCATTGGTATCAGTTACTGGTATCTGTTCACTTTTACCAATACCGATACAGGTATCAGTATCTGTATTGGCACCAATACCGATATCAGTATGGTATCGGTGCATCCCTACCATTGAGCAGGGTTGATGGTTTATCCTTTGGGTCCACGTGGCAGGGGTGAGGAGTGAGCACCACCTCACCCCTGCCACGTGGACCTCAAGGGATAAACCATCAATCCTGCTCAATGGTCAGCTTTCCTCACGGGGTCACACCAATTAGCACAGTGGGAGGGTTAAAGAAAAAAAAAAAGAAATATGCAAAGGAATAATAATATTTAAAAAAGAATAACTTACATTACTTTTATCTTATTATTGTCTTTTTTTTTTTTTTTGGAGAAGTAATGTGATTGAGTAAATAGGGTAGGCATAAAAAGCTAGGCTTCAGCCTACACCTTATTGGTTACTGTAATTGAGATTCTGTATTACTGTGTTCTTTCTTTTCCTTTTAAATGACCAAAAAAATAAAATAAATAAATAAAAATAAAAAAGAATAAGAAGAGGTAATCACGGGATCCAGAGAAAAACAGAACTGGCAGTAACAACAGCATGAAGAGAAGCTAGGGAATAGAAGGTCAAAAAAAGCCAGCCTCTGTTCAAAAGAGCCTGTTTGATTCAAAAAGATGTTTTACAGCTAGTGATTCATGTAAATTAGCCAAAATACCGAGCAGTATGCTGTTTTTCAGTAAAAAGTGTGTTACACGTTACAATACTTTTCCACAAACAAAGCAACATAGCACAACATGTTACCGTAATACAGCTCTGAATCGGATCACCTGGTTTTGTCGGATAAAACAGCATTTTTCACTGATTAGCATGCATGTCTTTGCAGCCAAACCTGGAGATTAATCATCATGCTGACAAGTCTCTGGACAGTTTCTGTAAGTGGCAGAAGTCCATCCTGTCTCATCACAACAGTGGAAACAGCATTCTGGAGAATGGGATGGCTCATCATGACAACGCTGTCCTAATCACCCGGTAAGAGTTGGCGAGCGGCTAAAGGAAAAGGAACACACTCTGCTCACATAACAGTACAGCCATCCAGCATTTCATTCGTTGTAATTTTCTCCTTTGGAGCAAATAGGTTGCAGGTTCTGTTCTGTGCCGTCAGCAGCCGCCAGCAGCTAAAACACTGGAAGCTCAGACTGTCCTGCACAGACGCTACCTGTATCTGAAAGAATAAAGGCCTCAGCCCTGAAAATAAATTGTGCTTTTACAGACGTACTGTACTTGTCACCCTGCAATTTATGTCAAGGCTGTTACCATAAAACAGCAAAACTCTGTCATTACCTGGAATCGGCTTCATTGTTGCCCCAAGTGTTTTGGCCACGTAACCTAGCAACTAAAAGGTACATATCCCAGCTGGTTCTCTCAAGTAAGATGTGATGGTGTTATTTGATTGGCATGGGCTGAAGCCAAGCTTTGTGACTTTCTGAGTTCAGTACAAAACAGCCTTTCTGTCATCAATGACTGCTTGCTGATTGTCTGCCTCTTGATGTTCTCCAGCTCCTCTCGCTTCGTGTTTTATTTCAGGTTTGAGCTTAACTCCTCTGGAGAAATCAGAGTTATCCATCCATTTTCGGATGCTTATCTGAGGTGTGGTCGCTGGGGCAGTAGCCTAAGAAGGGAAGCCCAGACTTCCCTCTCCCCAGCCACTTGGGCCAGCTCCTCTGGGCGTTCCCAAGGCGTTCCCTGACCAGCCGTGAGACAAAGTCCCTCCAGCATGTCTTGGGTCTTCCTGTAGGTCTTCTCCTGGTTGAACTTGCCCAAGAAACCTTACCAGGGAGGTGTCCAGGAGGCATCCTGACTGGCTTCTCTCGATGTGGAAGAGCAGAAGGTCTACTCTGAGCCCCTCCCGGATGACCGAGCTTCTCACCCTGTCTGTAAGGGAGAGCCCAGCCACCCTGCAGAGAAAACTCATTTCGGCCGCTTGTATCCATGGTCTCCTTCTTTCGGTCACTACCCAAAGCTCGTGACCATAGGTGAGGGTCGGAACATAGATCGAGCTGTAAATCAAGAGCTTTGCCTTCCGGCTCAGCTCTTTCTTCACTATGATAGATCGAAACAACACCCACATCACTGCAGGTTCAATCCACTGGTCGATCTCACGCTCCAGTTTTCCCTCACTCATGAACAAGACCATGAGATACTTAAACTCCTCCACTTGGGGCAGGACCTCGTGCCTGACCTGGAGAAGGCGTTCTACCCTTTTCTGACTCAAAACCATGGATTCTCATCCCATCTGCTTCACACTCAGCTGCAATCCGCTCCAGTGAGAGCCAGAGAACACGCTCTGATGAAGCCAACAGGACCACATCATCTGCAAAAGGCACAGACCTGATCCTCAGGCCACCAAAACAGATCCCCTCAGCACATTGGCTGCTCCTAGAAATCATGTCCATAAAAGTTATGAACAGAATCTGTGACAAAGGGCAGCCATTGCAGAGTCCAATTCTCACTGGGAACGAGCTCGACTTACTGTGGCGATTCGGACCAAGCTCTGACACCGGTCATACCGGGACCTAACAGCCCGTATCAGAGGGTCTGGTACCCCATACTCCCAAAGTAACCCTCATAGGGCCTCCCACAGGGCTCTCCGAGGGACACGGTCGAACGCTTTCTCCCAATCCACAAAACACGTGAAGACTGGTTGGCCGAACTCCCACTCACCCTCCAGGATCCCTCTAAGGGAACAGAGCTGGTCCAGTGTTCCACAGCCATGATGAAAACCACATTGCTCCTCCTGAGCAGAGTTACCCTTTTGTGGAATTAGGTTTTCATGTTCAAACTGTGTCCCCACCTTCAGGAATTAGCTCTTGAGTTATTCAGCTTGGAGACCCAACAACGCATCTATCTGGCTTGACCACTCATGAGCCAACGCAAAACGATACGGTTCAGAGCCGTTCACGTTCATCTTTCCTATATAGCACCTTCACATGGTCCGAGGGCCAAACAAAGCGCCGCTTATTTCCACTTAAAAAAACATCCTCCTCTGGTGAAGGAGTTGGACAGTGAATCCTCCAGCCCGCTGCAGTTTCTGTCTGTGTGTGTTTTTCAACCACTCGTTTGAGCATGGGAGTGGATGCTGTCGGTCACTGCCTTAGTGCCGCTCTCTCTGTTCACCAGGCGACGCCTCCTTTTGACGCATTTTTCAAACAGGAAGTGTGGGTGGAGGAAGGTTCTGGTCAGGGTGGGGACTTGCACTTTAAGGTCCTCACAGACTTACAGTAGGCAGATTGTAATCTTTTCCAGAACGAATTCTTACATTCGTTATGCTCCTTCATCCTGTCATTAGGAAACGGAGCTCAGCATCACTGTTTTTTTTGGTGGTCAGGTCCTGTGCTAGGACCGGTCCACACGGCAAGATTTCAAAATGATATGGTTTCAAAACGCGAGAGACTGCACACAAGCCAATACTGTGTGTGGTGTGCATACACATGTCAAAAACAACACTGATCACGGACCAATTTCACTCAAGAACATTCCCGGGTCAGATGAGGAGTCTTGTGGGCTTGAACTTCCTTTAGAGTAAACCAAAATGGCAGACAGAGTGTGCCTCGTGTTCCTGTCACCTTGCTTTCTTACTGGCTACACGTTGCAGTGGGAGGGTTAACCCTCCCACTGTCCTAATGGGTGTGACCCTGTGAGGAAAGTTGACAGTTGAGCAGGGCTGATGGTTTATCCCTTGGGTCCACGTGGCAGGGGTGAGGAGTGAGCACCACCTCACCCCTGCTACGTGGACCCAAGGGATAAACCATCAGTCATGCTCAATGGTCAAGTTTCCTCATGGGGTCACACCCATTAGGACAGTGGGAGGGTTAAACAGACAACAGGTTTGTTTGTTACCAAAATCAGGCAGAGACGATCCAACCTGTTGAATATTCCCAATTTGTGATGGGAGCGGTCTTGTACTTAAGAGCAGACCAGAGCACTTTTTAAACATATTACGGGCATTTGATTATCGGGAGCATCATTAAGGTTGTCGGAAGGGGAGCAGTAGGTCAAAATTTGGGATAATCACCTTGTTGTGTCAACCGGTCCTTAGATAGCGTGTCACCTGACCTGACGTTTAGACGTGTCTGCAGAAAGCAGCAGAAAGGAAGGAGACTAAAATGAAATTTGCTGCGTTCTCGTTAATACTATATTAAAAGCCTCAGGAATGATTGGATCATTCATTTGAGACAAATGATGCATTCTTACAGCGCAGCAGCTTCAAGCGCTCTCCTCTACTGGATTACCTGCGTGCGGAGCTAAAAGCAGGGACGACCCAAGCCTTTCTATTTATTCTCCTTGTGTGTGCATTGGCCTCTTTACACAGAGAGCCCCGCGGTAGATGGAGGGGTGCACCAGCCAGGTGTTTTTCTTGAAGCAAACCTGTCATGACTTCACTATTGTTATGCTAAAGGCTGAGATTATAACTGGCCAGACTGTGTGATTAAACAGTGAAAGAATGGAGTGGCCAACAGCCAGTAGAGGAAAGCTGTGTAAATGTAAAAAAAAAAGTTATTATAATGTTTTTTTTTCCTTTTTCTTTGACTTTTTAGATATGACATCTGCACCTACAAGAACAAACCCTGTGGTACCCTGGGTGAGTAGAGTAGAGTGGAGTTTGTCTAACTGGTAAAGGATGATGATAACTGTTTTAATCTCTGGTTATCCTTCTCCCCTGGAAAGGTTTTCACTTTCACATTCAGAGTGTCCTCAGACAAACCTTATTTAGCAGCCTTCGCCGTCTGCTTTAGAAGAACTCCAGACGGCTCCTGTGAGACGTAATAAGAAAGATGTTTTCATTTGTGTTATTATAGCTCCGTGGTGGCTCCCGTCTTCTGGCTGAGGCCAGGGGCGCTGAACTGGGACAGGTCGTGGTCAACTCTGCTTTGTAAAACCCCTCTTCATCCCTTGCCTCTAACCTCAGTTTGTTCAAGGTGTGTGTGTGTGTGTGTGTGTGTGTGTGTGTGTGTGTGTGTGTGTGTGTGTGTGTGTGTGTGTGTTTGAAGTAAGGTAGAAAGACGAGATGAGAACAAGTGGAGGAGGTGGAGTCGAGAGGAAAATGGAAGGGAAAAGGACAATTATAGGGAGCGTTAGAGGCTGAAGGAGGGAGATAGAAGGGGTGGTACACACGGCTGTGGTGATTTTGGGACAGCAAGTCTTTCCTCCTTTCTCCACCCAGCCTCTCTCCTTTCCCATCTCATGTTCTCAAACGGCGCTGCAGGCACCACAGTATATCTTGGAGGTAATATCGTGACCTCGGGGGGACTTTGACAGATTGACCGCATTCGTCACATTCCCCGGTCGCTTTAATTGCCCCGGCATCTGCTTGGCTTCCTCATTGTCCTCCCCCTCTATCCCCCTTCTCCTCCTTCAGCCTCTGCTCCACCTCCCTCCCCTCTCTGGGATCATGCTCTCAGGTCAGTCCGCTGGCCTTTAGGGTCGCTGAGTAATCAGGGGGCTGGAGATAGTGCTCCGTCCAACCCCCCAGTGTTAAGGACAGAGCTTTCAATGCGGTGTGTGTTTGCATTTAACCTACACTCTTACCCTTGCACCCCCCCCCCCCCCCCCCAACATGCTCAAACATTCTTAAACTAATCGTAGAGTAGCCACCCTCCTTCCTTTTCCCTCCCTCTGCTTCTTCTTTCTTCACCTCTCGGCTCCTTCTTTCCCTGCAGTAATGGCTTCAGTAGCCTCCTGATTTGCGAGTCTATTCTTGTTTAGCCTCTTAGCAAAGAGGATACAAACACTGTGCCACTTTCAGCGGGGGGAGGCCAGGTGCTCTTTTGGACCAGGCAGAAAAATCTGAAGCAGAACTGACCACTGAAGCTGGACGTGCAAAGTCAGATGAGTCAGTCCTAAAGCCATCACTGATAATTCAGCATGAGATCCTCATGAAACATTTTCTTAGACCCGGGTCACAGGCAAGATAATTATGCTGATTTTTGACCCAGTTTTAACCTCTCCACAACCTTAAGGACCCCCCCCCCAATAACCATAATGGCTCTAAAATATACTTATCAGATATTTTTGCACTGTGTAGTGTGTTCAGTTCAATTCAAAATTAGCTTAATCCCCCAAATATATGGAGTGTGAAGACATATTTGGTGTCCATGTGGTCATCGGGGCACTTGGGGCAGTGACACCCAGACTGGAGGAGCGGCTAAAGCAGATCCCAGGAAAAAACACCAGACATCTCGGTCCAGAAAAGTGCAGATTTAGGAACAGCTAAGATACCGCAGAACCCTCAAGCTCCCAGGCCTCTGGTAGAGGACCCAAGCTTGGAAGGATGTGACACACACACACACACACACACACACACACACACACACACACACACACACACACACACACACACACACACACACACACACACACACACACACACACACACACTGCTAGGGATGGGGCCGATACCAGTGCAGCTGCCTGAAAGTGGCTTCACTGTAACTTGTCTTTTCTGTTCACCTACTATTTTAGTTTTGTGGTCATTTTCTTTGTATTTTATTTTTATCTTCCTTACAGTCTTTTCCTGTTAGCATGAAGCAGAGACGAAAATAAAACATGTAATCCCATTTATTGCATCTTTTGTGTGATAGAAGTCTCGGTATCGGCGAGTACTCAGATCTGAGTATTGTATCGATTTGGAAAAAAGTGGTATCGGTGCGCGCAGGGTTTGGGGGGCCACAAAGAGGGGGGCCCGCAGGCCGCCTTTGAGGACCACTGCTTTAAGATAAGCAAAAAAAAAAAACAAAAAAAAAAAAACACAGCAGCACAGATTTTCTCAAACTGGGAGTCAGTGATTAAATTTGGTGTATAAGGGGAATAAAAGCAACACAGTCCTTTTGTGACACGCTCGAGATAAAGAAATATTTTTTCGCGTTTAACCATTGGAGTTCCATGGTTAAAGGTGCATGATGGGACTTTTATTCATGTTATCTTTTTGTATTTAGACCTGTTTTAAAAGTGTTCCCAATAATTTCCAATTTTTCCAGTTCTTTTAAAATATGGCCAAACATTTGCAGGAAAACTTTGAGATTGCAGCTGTGACCAATTGCCAATTTTGCTGACTCGGAACTCAATAAAACTATAAAGAGTAATCAACTGGAAATTCCTACTTTGCCTTTAAAATTAGCTTAAAGGTTGAATATGGAACACAAACCCCAAAGCGACATCTAGTGTGTGGAGGTTGTAGCTACAGCAATAGAACAAGGTTTCCAGCCGTCGGGATACCGGGTTCGCTGCCGATAGGCAAATTGTTTTATTTGGGTCCATCTGTTGTAAGCTTCACTTAAACTCAATTTGGGTTTAGATCTTTTATGGTCGCTCATCTTCTGAGAAGAATAACCACATCTTCTGGGCTCAGAAGCAGCTGCTTGACTTGCCAGCCTCAGACTGTTTATGCAATCAGCAACGGTGCCCTCTACTGGCTGGTAGATATAAACCCGGTGTTGTGCCCATTGAAATACAGTACAGGCCAAAAGTTTGGACACACCTTCTCAATCAATGTGTTGTCTTTGTCTTTGTGTCCATTTACATTGGTAGATTCTCACTGAAGGCATTAAAACTATGAATGAACACATGTGGAATTATGTACTTAACCAAAAAAGGTGAAATAACCGAAAACATGTTTTAAATTCTATTTTCTTCAAAATAGCCACCCTTTGGTCTGATTACTGCTTTGCTCACTCTTGGCATTCTCTTGATGAGCTTCAAGAGGTAGTCTGTATTGATGATATAAATTGACTACCATTGAGTCTGGATTTAAACCAGAAGCTGATTGATAGCTTGTCAGGGGGAACTGCTAGGGTCTTGAAAAACAAAGACCAACACTGCAACTATGAACACTTTGCACAAACCTAAAACAGTTGCCAGTAAATTCCCTTGAAACTTATGGAATGCTTGTAATTCTCCTCCAGTAAACCATTGAAGGAGGGACAAAACAGCTCTGACATATACAACCTCCTCTCCTGCTTCGAGTCATTCGGTGGTTCTGCATCTTGGGTCCAAACCTCCTGCTCCTCATCATGACAATGTCAATGTTTCCCTTACATAGACGTAGCCGTGGCTGCCCACCACGGCTGAAATCCCAGCGCCACGCCTACAAGATCCCAAGTTTTATTGTGTTTTTTAATTTTATTTATTAGTTTGCACCATTTCCCGAAGAAGCAGCGGGAACTACTCTGTTGTTGCTTGTGATCACAGCCGGCAGGCAGCAAAGAGGAGGAGGCAGTGCAGGGTGGTTACAGCTAGAAGGAAAATACTCATTCGGTAACTGACTGTCTTCACGCTCTGTGATTGGCCAATCACATAGAGCGCCCGCCCCTCCCTACACACAGAACTCTGCAGCCGGGAGCTCAGTCCGTCCGACCCCGGTCCGATCCATGCATCCACGCACACACACACACAGACAGTAACGGATCTCTGTGCTTGCTTCACTGTTGCTCACGTTTCTTCAGTGCTCCCTAGGTTTTCTTCAGCTCGCCTCTTTTTCGGTTGAATATTTAAAGTTATTTTTTCGTAACGTACGTGGTGCATTTGACAAGACGGAGCTGAAAACGGCTCGTGCACGCGTCGGTCACTGCCTCCGCTCCGGTCGGGTTTTTCTATTATTATTTTAACTCTCTCTCTCTCTCTCTCTCTCTCTCTCACACACACACACACACACACACACACACACACACACACACACACACACACACACACACACACACACACACACACACACACACACACACACACACACACACACACACACACACACACACACACACCTCAATCAACATCGTTTTGTTTAACTGTGTGTGGGGAAAAATGTCAACAACGGTAGGAAAAAATCAGTTTAGTCAAATTAAAATAAAATGGTTCTAGTATTTCATATTTCCTAGTTCCTACTGCATGAGTTCAGATGCATTAATTCATGCACTTAAATATTAATGTTCAGATTTTACTGAAAAACTTGTTCTGTAATACTTTCACTATTGTGATCAAAAATATTTAGTCTCAATTCTGAGGCTGCTCTGTAAATAGTTTTCAAATAAACAATAGTTTATAAATAAACAACTTCTGATCAATCCATATCAATTTCAGATTTAAAATAATGTGTTAATATAAACCACACCCACTAATTTCCAAATAATAAATAAGAGGTGCATTCATCTGTGTATCTCCTTTGATCCGCATTAGTCATATTTTCAGCACCAGAACAGTGAAGCAAAGAAACAAATTCCTGAGTTTGTTAGTAATTTTATTTATTAGGTGCATCTGACCTGTTCTATTGTTGTCTGAAATCAGATCAAATCAGTGCTTCTATGGGTTGTTACTTTATTATAATGTTCACTGTAATGCATCTTGATGTTCTGAACAAATAAATTAAATCAAAGATATTGGTCAATAATGCAAATTTGTGTTTCAGTCATTTTTATACTGGCTTAAAAATACTTCACTAAGTCTACTACGCAGGGGTGTAGAACGTGTTTAACAGGGCCAGCCCAGTAATGATCTTGGACTAAAATAAAAGGGGCAGAAAGTCAAATAAAGGATGGCAAAAGGAGATGTTTTTCCAGACGCCAAGAAAAATTAACCCCCCCCACCCCCACCCCACCCCCCACCCTCCCGGCAGAGTGTGTCACTGAGAGTTTAAAACAAAAATTATTCTTGTGCAAATATTGGTGTATCCACCTTTAATACTAGTTATTAAAATGCAGCAGTTGCTGGATTGGTGCAGTTCAAAGTGGAGTGCATCAAATAAAACAATATTCAGATAAAGGTGAGACGTGTCATAGTCCCCCACCACCACCACCACAGCTGGAAAAATTCCTAGGGGAAACACTGAATGTAACTGTAACATCATAATATCACACAAAAAAAAATCACATTATCCTCTGTTTAAATATTTTCGAAGCTGAAACCTCTGGAGATAAGGTCTGCATGAAGCATTTATGTATCATGTTGCACAGACTCACTCCCAAACACAGACCTGCTTTTTACCTTTATCCGGGTTATTAGATGTAATCTGTGAGGAATTGCTAGTGCTCACCTTATCTGACCTGTCAGGCTTTGAGAACAAAGGACAGACCACACCTGGATGGTGGAGCGGTTCTCTCCTCTCCAGTTGGGTTGTGAAATGAGGAAAACACAGATGCTGTGTGACAGGTTTCTGTTGGCGCACAGAGTTGGTAAAGACTTCTTATGTTACCCTCTTTGGCGTGTGGCATAGACAATCCCTCATTACATCAGTTGAAATGTTTAAATCGAACCTCTGTCTAGACGTTTCCCAGGAGTTCCTGGAGTTTGCAGGAAACTCTGTGACGCTAAACTCAACTCCTCCTGTTGAATCTGTACTGGTGACCAGTCTTTGTGCGCTGCTGTAAACAGAAGATCAATTACGTTCTACCTTAAGTGTGACTTTTATGTCTGCGTCTCATAAGAGTGATCCTGTGTTTGCATGCTGTGCTGTTCTGTGTGTGTGTGTGTGTGTGTGTGTGTGTGTGTGTGTGTGTGTGTGTGTGTGTGTGTGTGTGTGTGTGTGTGTGCGCGCGCGCATGTTTCTAGGCCTGGCCTCAGTAGCTGGAATGTGTGAGCCGGAGAGAAGCTGCAGTATCAATGAAGACATTGGCCTTGGCTCTGCTTTCACCATTGCACATGAGATAGGCCACAAGTAAGTTTGAACTGTTTTATAAAGGATATATTATTATGCAAATCTCACCTTTTGCATCCTTTTGTGTTGGTCTCTACTGCCTCTTACAACACTGAAAAAAAACCCTCATCCATTTTCGATCAGAGTTTGGTTTCAGGGATCATATGCTTCAACAAGCTGTTTGAAAATGTATTATTGTGATGTAACAATAAGGACATTTATAACAGACTTTTTCTTTGAAATGCTCTTCACACATTTATGGCATCCAAGTTAATGCTGTATAAAAACAAATAATTATAACTGTCTGAAATATAATTCAATTCAAGTTTATTTATATAGCGCCAAATCACGACAAGAGTCATCTCAAGGCACTACACATAATAAACATTCCAATTCAGGTCAGTTCATTAAGCCAATCAGAAATAATGTATCCTATATAAGGAACCCAGCAAATTGCATCAAGTCACTGACTAGTGTCAGTGACTATACAGCAATCCTCATACTAAGCAAGCATAAAGCGACAGTGGAGAGGAAAACTCCCTTTTAACAGGAAGAAACCTCCAGAGAATCCTGGCTCAGTATAAGCAGCCATCCACCACAACTCACTGGGGATCGAGAAGACAGAGCAGACACACACACACACACACACACACGCACACGCACGCGCACACACACAAACACACACACACACACACACACACACACACACGCACACACACACACACACACACACACACACACACACGCACGCACGCACGCACGCACGCACGCACACACACACACACACACACACACACACACACACACACACACACACACACACACACAAAGACAAAGTAATGTGTCTATAGTTATATTGTGATTTCTTAGTAAATTTTCTATTTGGCGAGAGATAAACTTTATTGTATTTATGCTAGTGGATCTATAATTAAATGGATAAACTAGTAGTAGCACATCCAACGTCAAGGAAAGCAAAAAGTTATTATCAGGAGAGGGAGAATGTTTAAGTGGTTAGCAGCAGTGTGCTAGTCAATGGCCCCCTCCATGAGGCCACCACAGCTTAGCAGAACATCGTTGTAGCTTCTTCTGGGGAGAAAAACACTTACAGAGAAAAGAAATTTAACAGCTGAAATTGAAGAAAATAGTACAGTTAAAGAGCAGACTGTAGAAGAAAGCAGTAGAGTGTGAAAAGTGGTCAGTGTGTCCTCCAGCAGTCTAAGCCTATAGCAGCATAACTACAGAGATAACTCAGGATAATCTATCCTATTTAGATGGAGGCATGTTGGAGGCAGGGCAAGGGAGAGTCGTCTTTACTGACTGTACACTCCACCTCCCTCTACTCCCCCACTTGTCCAGATTTAGGCTAACATCAGATTTTAACCATAAGCCCTATCAAATAAAAATGTTTTAAGCCTATTCTTAAAAGTAGACAAAGTGTCTGCCTCACGGACTAAAGCTGGGAGCTGGTTCCACAGGAGAGGAGCCTGATAACTAAAAGATCTGCCTCCCATCCTAATTTTAGATATTGTGGGAACCACCAGTAGACCTGCAGTCTGAGAGCGAAGTGCTCGGTTAGGAACATATGGAACAATCAGATCACTGATGTATGATATATACAGTCCTGGAGAACCTCATCATCATAATCCATCCATTAAACTGCCCTCTGACCATCTCTCCCCCTCTGCACACGCCTCTCTTTGTGCACGAATCGCACATTCTCAGCTAAGAGCAGTTGAACAGGAAGCAAAGCCAGAGCCGCGTTGCCAAGTGTAGAGAATGGAAAGTTTCATTTTGCTTGCAAATGTGATTTAATGCATTGTTTTACATGCTCTGTCTAGAGTCTGGTTATGTTATTGTTGGGAAACATTTAGGTGACGGACCTGTTGCCTGTGAACACAGCTGGCAGAGCTCTGGAAATGTTGACATGTTGTTTGTTGGATTTTCACAGATTGTTGGTGGCATTGATCTGCTATAATTTTAAAGTTATGAATAAACAAAAAAAAACCTAATTTTTCACCATAAAAACAGTTACATAGCTGCATTATGTTAGGAATTATGGCAGAAAATGTGCCATAAACAGGTCAAAAAGGTAAACCACTATTTCCAGTGTTATATCATCCTCTGCGACCACCAGATTCTGTGACTCTGGGGAGCCTGACGAAAGAGGGTTAGACCTTAGAATTATTATTCAATTTTAGCTTGCTTGAGTATCTTTTTCCACCAACATCCACTTCACCTTTAAGCAACATTTTTGTTATTTAGACTTTTAAAACCCTGAAAACACGACACATAATGAACAGGTGTTTTTCTCCAGGCTACAGTAAACACCTTGAGGTTTGCAGTTATGTTTTGTGATGAAGTGCCACAAGAAGGGTTTGATGAATTGCCATGAAATTTAGTACAGGCAACCGTTGCTGCACTTGGACTGCCCAGATTTTTCTTCTAGCGCTGTCCTGTTGGTCCAGTACTTTTGTTCACGACTTAACACCTGCAAGTTCTTCTTGGCAAGTGTTATTAAGCTAGCTTAATTAAGCCAGTAAACGTGGTATTAGCGGTGCTAGAGGCTAGAGTCGAGTCTTGAGACTTTGTTGATCAGGTGCAGCTCATTAAATATAGTTTCTCTCTTTCTGCAGGTCATCTTGAAACCTTTGATAGCTTCCCAAATTTTTACTTGGTTCAAAACAAACTTTACCAACTGTTTCCCAGTCTTGCATGCAGCCATTTCTCCTCTCATGCAGACGTCCTGAACTGGATCTTTGCATTTTTCCTCATGCTAATGTCAGTGTCCACATACCTCGGGCTCTTTCTTCCTGAATATAAAGCAAAATAATGATGATGTATTAGTCTACGTATCCCCCTCGAGAGACTTCAGTAAGATGGCGATTTCCTTTATTATGTCTCATGTCTGCTTCTGTTGAAGGGCAGTTGTAAAAATAGTCTCTGCTTTTAGAGGATGTATAAAAAAACACACTGCAGCGGGGTTTCAACCAGCCTGATTTATTTCCAGAGTGGGGTAAAATGTCATAAACGCCAGCCTTAGAAAAACAGCTTCAGAGTGTTCAGTGTGGTTGGGTTTGTTATATACATTAAACCTGATTTGTGCTCCCAGACCTTAAGGAAAAGTAAGCTTTGACATCCTGCTTTACTGTTAGATTTGCTTTCCAGACAGATAAGAGCTGCTTTTTCCCCACTAATTGATTGTTGAAAGTATTTTTCCCCAGCATATATTCAGGGCGACATAACTTCTTTCACATCTGAACACCAGTTTGAAAAAGTTTCAGGTTTAGATCCAAAGGATCCTTGTGTCCTTGCTGCAGCCGGCGCTGACTCTCCCTTGTGGCCTGCTCAGACCTGCAGGAGGTGATTGACAGGCAGGCATCTGAGTGGTGATTAGAACTTTTTTTGTTACTGCTTTGCACCAGACAGGGTTTGACCCCTGACCCCTCCACACAGCTGTTTCAGAGCCACAGAAACCTCTCTTTACAGCCAAACCTACCGAAGTAGACGGCTCAAAAGTCAGGGGACTGGATATCCATGTTTAACTACTTAGCTAAAAGCAAAACAGAGAAAACACTTCCAGGATGATGGATCTTTATTTTCACCAAACTTCCCATTTGTGTTTTTCAGTTTTGGGATGAACCATGATGGGATTGGGAATTCCTGTGGCACTAAAGGCCACGAAACAGCCAAGCTGATGGCCGCTCACATAACAGCCAACACCAACCCTTTTTCCTGGTCTGCCTGCAGCAAAGACTACATCACCAGCTTCCTGGAGTAAGTGGATGATGATTGTTCCCTGTGGGACCATCGCTCTCTCTCTCTCTCTCTCTCTCTCTCTCTCTCTCTCTCTCTCTCTCTCTCTCTCTCTCTCTCTCTCTGTCTCTCTCTCTCTCTCTGTCTCTCTCTCTCTTTCTCTCTCTCTCTCTCTCTCTCTTTCTCTCTCTCTCTCTCTCTCTCTCTCTCTGTCTCTCTCTGTCACTCTCTCTCTGTCTCTCTCTCTTTCTCTCTCTCTCTCTCTCTCTCTCTCTCTCTGTGTCTCTCTCTCTGTCTCTCTCTCTTTCTCTCTCTCCCTCTCTCTCTCTCTGTCTCTCTGTCTTTCTCTCTCTCTCTCTCTCTCTCTCTCTCTCTCTCTCTCTCTCTTTCTCTCTCTCGCTCTCTCTCTCTGTGTGTGTGTGTGTGTGTGTGTATGTGTGAGCAGCAGAGGAAAAGGTGCGTGCCTGTTTCCTTGCTTGCAGATGTCTCTGTTTACAACATGCTGCCTTTGGCTGCTCCTGGTGTTGAACAGGAGGCCTTCCTTGCTTTTTCCTATCCACACCATCCCTAGGATCCCTGACAGACGTCTCAGTGCGTGTACATCCATGATTGAATGTTTGGGAAATGACACAAGCGTTGGTTTTGACAAAGTTTGTTGCTTTGGTGTTTTACGATCTTTATGCCAGGTGCATCTAAAGTAGAATAACAAGTGATTCATAAGATTTTATTGACAATTACACTAAATCAATGTTTGTTCCAATTTAAAGATTTTTGTAATTCACCCTGGAATGCAGGCAGTCAACTTCTGATCCAAATCCTAATAGAAGCCCAATCATTGTGACAAATGTCCGCATTTAGGTTGAAATGTGATGTTTTTTGGTTTCCTCTCCTGAGGAATGACTACAAGCTCTCAGTGATCCCCAGATCTGAGGACACCAAACATTGGTGTTTTGGTTCCCGAGCCACCTACTTTGGTCTTGTTGTATATTGCTCCATCTTGCTGGAAAAGACATTGTTTGTCATCCTTCTTTCCACATTAATTGTTCAATTTTAAATCTGTGGATTGAATATTGTGATTTCACCTTTTTTGTTTGACCTTACTTTGTTGTTCCTTTTAATTTTTTTATGACATACGTGACTATTTCTGCCTGTGTTGTTTTATTATGTGCAGCGCTTTGGGCGGTTGTAATGCCGTATTGAATGCTCTCTATGAACAAAGTGGTATGATATGGTATTGTTCATCACTAAACTGCTGTAAAATGGTTGGGAGGAGTTTCTCAAGTTGGATGCTTAGATACCATTCTTAATTTATGTCTGTGGGAAAGCTATGAGCGAGTCCACTCCACTGGCTGAGAAAGGACCAGGTCTGAGGGTGCTTTATTGTTGACATGGTACAGGACTGATGGTCCCACACAACCAGAAAGTTCATTTATCAAATTATGTTACTTTCCCCTTGTTCTCAGTCCCTTCCTGGACCTTTAGCACAATATCAGCCTGTCCCTGTTGTTCACTTCTACCATAAAAATATACGTGGCAGTTGGTTTTAGCTCTTATTTGGTGCGTTTTAGTGATGACAAGACAAAAACGTGTAGATCGTGAACTGGAACCCTGGTCCTAGCAGTGTAGGTGAAGCCCTGAAATACTATTAAAGACTCAGGGAGTATGAACACATAGCAACCAGCTGGCTTTAATTTACTGGCTACCAAACTAGTCAGGCGTAATGTGAATGTCTTGCATGGTGACATTGATAAGTAAAGAGTCTGAAGCACTTTAGGAATCGGAAGTTCTGAAAGATGAGATCCCCTTGGTGTTATGTTTGAACTTTAGAAATGTTCAGATCTTCAAAGAAGCTCTGAAAAGCGAATAGTGTTAAAACGTATTTCACTTGTAGGGATTTTTTGTGTTCTATTTGATAAAAGCAGTTTACCCTTTACCAACACGAGACCAAGCATCTCAAAGGCACCAAGAGAAAAACAAAACACTTTGTATAATTCTACAATGGCTTCTTATTTGGTTCTTCAGATTGAGGTCAAAATTGTTTTGTTTAATTAAAAACTGAAAAGAAATCAAAATCATATTCCTTTATTCAATAGAAAACCGGTAAACAAACGATGTGAGGGCCTGGCTGCAGAACTGGGACACAGGTTCACAAACATGGTGTGAGACCAAGGCTCTACCAAAATAACAGCAACAGATAATAATAATGACCTGTTAGAGCCATGTGTTTGTGAAAGCTCCCCAGTTTACTATTTTACACCAATAGCTTGATTTAAAAATGATGCTTGAAGATGTTACATGTTGTAAATACTTTACCAAACTGTAAAACGTGTATTTTTTGTGCTGCTTTTAGCTCTATATTAAGTGTTTATCTGATGGTTTCTGGGAACATCTATTTTTTATTCTCCGTATTCAGGGTCTCTATCTCCAGTGGGCTCCGGGTGAGAGGTACACCTAGTCTTAGAACCAGTTCATAGCTTGTGTTTACGGAAGTAAAATGGATGTTCCATTTGTCCATTTTCACTCTCTTAACCGAGTCCAGGGTCTTGGGGGTAAGAGCTCCAACAAAGAGGCCCAAACCTACCCTCCAGTCAACCTCCACCAGCCCCACCAGCTGGATCATCAGACATTCCTGGCCAGTGTGGAGATACAATCCCTCGAATGTGCTCTTAGTTGACCTGGGGTCGCCTGCCAGCCTGAGACCCCTCCCCTGGTAGGTGTCCTGGGGTATTCTCACCGAATGCCTAAACCACTTAAGCTGGAGGGGCAGCGGCTCTACTCTGACTCTCTCCCAAATGTTTGAGCTCTTCACACTTTTTCTAAGGCTGAGTCCAGCTACTTGCTGGAGAAAACGGATGATGGCTATTTGTATTAGCTTTTGGTTCTCACCTACCACTCATAACCAAGGGTCAAGACTGGTATCAAAATTGCCAAACAGGTTGGTTGTCCTGGGCCCAGGTTATGAGGGGGACTCAGAAGCTTAACCCCCACTGACTCACCCCTCATTCATTCCTGGTCTGGCGGGACCAACTAATGGTGCATTCACATCTGGGTCGGCCCAGTCTAGCCCTGGTAGGTTAACTCTGTTCACATCTGGGTAATCTGTGCGTTTTCTGTGCTCAGCCGATCATCTTTTTTTTTGGACCTGCTCTCCCGCAGTCAGCTTGGTGCAGAGCCAACCCAACACACCCACTGCCAACTGATTGGCCGGCAGAAGTTCACACCTACTTACTAGAGGGAGCCTCTGTTAGTCGGGCAGAGTCAGCCAGCCGCAGGAACGTGAGGACGGACTGCTGTGAGAGGAGCCCACGGCAGCACCACTGTTCAGTGAGACAAAGCCCACATGGTTGGAGAAATCCACGTTCCTGAGAAGGTTGTGTGAACTAAACCTGGCCGTGTGGAGGCGGGTTGACCAAACCAAGACCGGACTGGGCCGACAGATGTGAATACGCCATAATATTATCTTATTCTGGGCCCAGGCAACACTGTTAGTGGACCTGGAGTTGGCAGTCCACTCTTTTGCAGCCTTCTCCCTAAACCGGAGACTTATAGCGGTGCTGGGGTTTCAGTGCCTTAATGTTCCTAGGAGCTATTGTCAGGGTCATTTGGCCCCTTGACAGGATCTCCCTTGGCAAATTTGTCTTCGGTGAAAGGCGAGACAAAGCAAAAGATCCTTTATGAGTTTAATTGCTAAGTACCAGAGTACCAGGGGAATTGTCGGGGTCCAACCCTGGAGCAAGACCTGGTGTTACGGCCCCTGTGCGAGCACCTGGTGACCGGGCTTCTGCCCAATGGGCCAGGCCCAGCCCAAAATGGACTCACCACATGCAGGAGGAACATGAAGGGTCCGGTACATTGTGGATTGGACGACAGACCAAGGCAGAGACCTCAGTGGTTCGATGCCCAGAATATACATGGCACATATGGGTACCTTCTTTTAACATCTGTCACAGTTCAATGACATAAACATATCAAAGGAAACATAGCTGTTGTATCCAATTTAGAACCACATAGGAAAGTTTCCTTTCCAGTTAAATGGTTTATATTGGGTGTGTAGTGGTACTGTTGCCTTGCAACAAGAAGGTTGCAGGTTTAAATTCTGGCTGTGGTCATTCTGCATGTTCCCCCCCATGCATGCGTTGGTTTTCTCCAGGTGCTCTGGTTTCCTCCCACAAGCCAAAAACATGCATGTCTTGGTTAATCTGGAAGTTGCTTTAGAAAAATGCAAAACATATAAAGTCACGTGGAGAGGGTGTGATTTTAAAACTTGTACTAGAACCAGCCACTAGGGGACGTTTTGGTTTCCTTCAACTTCCATGCGACCATCCTTGTCTAATTAACATTAGGATAAAAACAAGCCCATGATCTTGCGCAAAGTTTGTGTTTACTTGAGATTGAAATAACATGGTTAATCGTCCTGGATGTCGAAGGCAGTTTGGGTGATCTGTCCCCTGACTGCTGTGGGAGCTTGAATCAGGATTTTCCAGAGCAAACATCTCACCTTGTAAGAGCTCCTTGCTGCAGTCAGACACGCCAACATTTTTGTCTCTTGAGTTTTTGTCAAAAAGAAAATCCTTCCACACAGCCATGTGTTTAAGGCTTCAGTTGCAAGTGCTCAGTGTGTGCTGTGTGTGTGTTCATGTTCACTAAGCAAGGCGCGCCAAGACAGCAGATAAAAGCGGCTGCGGTTGTCAAACGATGTTTCCGGCTGAAAGCTGTTAGACGAGGGTTGGTGAGCACTGCTTGTGACAGAGAAGACAAAAATGCCAGCTTCCCTCTGGGAAACAAAGAGCTGCTTCTCTGCTTCCCCGTCAGGTTCCTGTTCCTGTTTGGCTCCAGCATATGAAGATGGTTGAAGCTGAGCTCAAACAGAAAACAGAACATGTTGTCTCACTTCACCTTAAAGCACAATAGGCAACTTCTTTAGGTGTAACGTACCTTTATTTTGTGTTTCTTTGTGAGTATTTGGTTTTATTACCTTTTTTTTTTCTGCGTCTCACAAAAAGGCTCCGCACATAAACTCT